AGCTACTTCGGGAAATAGAAAAAGAGGGAGAACTTCCAAATTCATTCTACGAGGCCAACATCACCCTGATACCTAAACCAGACAAAGACACTTCAAAGAAAGAAAACTACAGACCAATATCTCTAATGAACCTAGATGCAAAAATCCTCAATAAAATTCTGGCCACTCGGATACAAAAACTTATCAAAAAAATTGTGCACCATGATCAAGTAGGATTCATCCCTGGGATGCAAGGCTGGTTCAATATACGGAAATCAATAAATGTTATTCACCACATCAATAGACTTAAAAATAAGAATCATATGATCATCTCGATAGATGCGGAAAAAGCATTTGACAAAGTACAGCATCCCTTTATGTTCAAAACTCTAGAAAAACTAGGGATAACAGGAACATACCTCAATATTGTAAAAGCAATCTATGCTAAGCCTCAGGCTAGCATCATTCTGAATGGAGAAAAATTGAAAGCATTCCCTCTAAAATCTGGAACAAGACAGGGATGCCCTCTCTCTCCACTTCTGTTCAACATAGTTCTCGAAACACTGGCCAGAGCAATTAGACAGACGAAAGAAATTAAAGGCATCAAAATAGGAAAAGAAGAACTTAAATTATCACTATTTGCAGATGACATGATTCTATACCTAGCAGACCCAAAAGGGTCTACAAAGAAACTATTAGAGCTAATAAATGAATTCAGCAAAGTGGCAGGATATAAAATCAACACGCATAAATCAAAGGCATTCCTGTATATCAGCGACAAATCCTCTGAAATGGAAATGAGGACAACCACTCCATTCACAATATCTTCAAAAAAAATAAAATACTTGGGAATCAACCTAACAAAAGAGGTGAAAGACTTATACAATGAAAACTACAGAACCCTAAAGAGAGAAATAGAAGAAGATCTTAGAAGATGGAAAAATATACCCTGTTCATGGATAGGCAGAACTAACATCATCAAAATGGCGATATTACCAAAAGTTCTCTACAGGTTTAATGCAATGCCAATCAAAATCCCAACGGCATTTCTTGTAGAAATAGAGAAAGCAATCATGAAATTCATATGGAAAAACAAAAGGCCCAGAATAGCAAAAACAATGCTAAGCAGGAAGGGTGAATCAGGCGGTATAGCGATACCAGACTTCAAACTATACTACAGAGCAATAGTAACAAAAACAGCATGGTACTGGTACCAAAACAGGCGGGTGGACCAATGGTACAGAATAGAGGACACAGAAACCAATCCACAAAACTACAACTACCTTATATTTGATAAAGGGGCTAAAAGCATGCAATGGAGGAAGGATAGCATCTTCAACAAATGGTGCTGGGAAAACTGGAAATCCATATGCAACAAAATGAAACTGAATCCCTTTCTCTCGCCATGCACAAAAGTGAATTCAAAATGGATCAAGGAGCTTGATATCAAATCAGAGACACGCCGTCTGATAGAAGAAAAAGTTGGCTACGATCTACATACTGTGGGGTCGGGCTCCAAATTCCTCAATAGGACACCCATAGCACAAAAGTTAATAACTAGAATCAACAAATGGGACTTACTCAAACTAAAAAGTTTTTTCTCAGCAAAAGAAACAATAAGAGAGGTAAATAGAGAGCCTACATCCTGGGAACAAATCTTTACTCCTCACACTTCAGATAGAGCCCTAATATCCAGAGTATACAAAGAACTCAAAAAATTAGACAATAAGAGAACAAACAACCCAATCAACAAATGGGCCAAGGACCTGAACAGACACTTCTCAGAGGAGGACATACAATCAATCAACAAGTACATGAAAAAATGCTCACCATCTCTAGCAGTCAGAGAAATGCAAATCAAAACCACCCTAAGATACCATCTCACTCCAGTTAGATTGGCAGCCATTATGAAGTCAAACAACAACAAGTGCTGGCGAGGATGTGGGGAAAAGGGTACACTTGTACATTGCTGGTGGGACTGCAAATTGGTGCAGCCAATTTGGAAAGCAGTATGGAGATTTCTTGGAAAGCTGGGAATGGAGCCACCATTTGACCCAGCTATTCCCCTTCTTGGTCTATTCCCTAAAGACCTAAAAAGAGCATGCTACAGGGACACTGCTACATCTATGTTCATAGCAGCACAATTCACAATAGCTAGACTGTGGAACCAACCTAGATGCCCTTCAATGGATGAATGGATAAAAAAATGTGGCATTTATACACAATGGAGTATTACTCTGCATTAAAAAATGACAAAATCATAGAATTTACAGGGAAATGGATGGCATTAGAGCAGATTATGCTAAGTGAAGCTAGCCAATCCCTAAAAAACAAATGCCAAATGTCTTCTTTGATATAAGGAGAGTAACTAAGAACAGAGTAGGGTCGAAGAGCAGGAGAAGAAGATTAACATTAAACAGGGATGAGAGGTGGGAGGGAAAGGGAGAGAGAAGGGAAAATGCATGGAAATGGAAGGAGTCCCTCAGAGTTATACAAAAGTACATACAAGAGGAAGTGAGGGGAAGGGGAAAAATAATATAAGGGGGACAAACGAATGTCAGTAGAGGGAGCAGAGAGAGAAGAGGGGAGGGGAGGGGAGGGGAGGGGAGGGGAGGGGAGGGGAGGGGAGGGGGGATAGTAGAGGATAGGAAAGGCAGCAGAATACAACAGACACTAGTATGGCAATATGTAAATCAATGGATGTGTAACTGATGTGATTCTGCAATCTGTATATGGGGTAAAAATGGGAGCTCATAACCCACTTGAATCAAATTGTGAAATATGATATATCAAGAACTATGTAATGTTTTGAACAGCCAACAATAAAAAAATTAAAAAAAAAAAAATAAAAAAAAAAAAAAAAAAAATAAGAATACAGGCAAGGTCTCTGCTTTCTTACATAATAATTGAAGTATTAATGTGACAAATGTGATCAAGAACTATACTGTATTCTAAGAGCTAAGAGGCAATCCCACCTGTTCAGACAGGAAGGCTTTCTAAGCAAGAGAATATTAATACTGAGACAATGCAGATAGGACTTGGAGAGGTTAAAAAGAGCACTAAAGGCCCAGGAAACAACAAGGCTATTGTAACTAAGAGGCCCTAGAAAGCTAAGGACAAAGGGCTGGTGACTGAGGGCAGCTGAACACGGCTTGATGGGCCACACTAAGAATTTTAGATTTTGTTCTTGGATTCTAGGGCTAGAATACAAGGCCCTATACTTGGAGTTTTCCTTTTTCCCCCCTAAATTATAGAAAGATACTTTGTTGACTTAAAAACTCTCACTATAAAACATAAGTAAGACCTTTAGCCTAACCCAGATGGAACTAAATTTCACAGAGCAGGACAAAACAGAACACAATCCAAGTATGGAAAGATGAGGTCTTTTCTATCAAGATAATCAATTTGTCTGTTCTGCACTAGGCATTGTGTAATCTTCAGGTATGAAGCCAAACACAGACTATTATATATGTGTACACAGATCTTTTGTCACTTGGTCACTTCCCTATTCCCACCATATGCCTAATCTACTATCTGTCATTTATTTTCTTTGAGTCCTTCAAACATAAGTCTTTCAAATTATGCTCTATAAACTTCTAGGGATCCCTAGTGACTTTAAAAGGATATATGTCCTGCTAATATTAATTGATATGGTTTTATTCTATTATATTGCTTATCTCTACATCAGACGTGACCTTGCACACTAGGACTATATTTAGCTCATCTTGGTATCTCTAGCACTTGGCATAGTGTATGCACAATAAGTTGTTAAATAAATAATTTTCCTAATGTGACCAAGTGTTCTAGTAATTCTTACTTTAGCATAAATTATTTGGTCATAATTTCAAAAACCTTGGGTTAAGTCACTAATTAATATTACTTAGTCTCAGTTTTTGCATCTTTGAAATGATGAATTATAGTAAGAACCAAAATAGAGAATATATTTAAAGTACACAGCAAATGACAATGCTTTATACAAATTTTAGTTATTATTATTACTAAAAATATGTACCTCTTTATATTTTATCAAAAATCACACTGATAAAGTATGGGGCATGAAGTCCTCAGAGCTCTTTATATCTTCTAAGTAGTCTGCAGACCACAAAAGTCAGGGAAATCCTTCCTTAAATATCCTAATATGGAGTTTTCAAATTTTTTCTTTTAAGGCATAGACAGTTTGTTAAAACAAACTGCTATTCAGTAATATAAACAAATAAAATATTTCAAAGTCAAGGTGAACTACACTGATTGACAGACAGTAACCTAAAGAGAAGAAGGGGTGGGGTTTGCAGAAGCTCTAGGGCTCAGTGCGAAAATCACTGGCCTCATGAATAAATACAGAACACAAAATACTCAGGTTCCCTAAAGTTGTTACACACAAAACAAATTATTTGACTTTTTTTTAAAGAGATAGAGAGAAGAAAGAGAGAGAATTTTTGATATTTATTTTTCAGTTTTCGGTGGACACAACATCTTTATTTTATTTTATGTGATGCTGAGGATCGAACCCAGCGCCCTGAGCATGCCAGGCGAGCGCGTTACCGCTTGAGCCATATCCCCAGCCCATTATTTGACATTTTGATGATAAATGTGCAACACAGAAATAATTCTAACATTTTGTTTGTTTGTTTATGGGCTTTCCTCAGGAATTGAAGCAACTGACTTACATTTGCTCATCAATTGCTCTAACTTGATGCTAGTGGAAGAACAGCTAGATGATCAAACACCAATACTATGTATGGATGGGGATATTTAACTCTATTCTGTTCTAATTTTGGCCTTTGTTTCCAAGTTATATTTCCTCAAAAAACATTAAGTGCAAAGACTTTCAAAATGTACAGTTCATGTCCAGACTAATGCAGATCTGGACAGGCCATTCAGAAGAGGATTTGAATCCAAAGTTTGGATTCATTAGCTTTGTATAGATTTAACTAATGTTAAGCGACAGAGATAAGTCAGAGTTTCTCATTGGTAGAATGGAAATTGTCAGAACAAAGCTGTAGAGAATCCATTATTCATACCTGACACCATTATTTCAGCCACTAGTGTATGCTGAGATTCTGTGATGTTATCTGCCAATGCTCTAGTCCTAGAGAAGGCATCCAATGGTGTTACCTGATTACCTAGATCAGCTTCACCACCTGTTGAAGACCAAAAGATACAACTGTTTTAGCTCTTTGAAGGAATATTTAATTTATATTCATGGCTATTCCTTGGTTCCAAGTTCAGACTGGCTCTTTGAGGTAAGAGGATTCAGAAGAATCCAGGTTTGGTGGCTTAGAAAACCTCACCCACTATCCTACCCTCCCAGTTTCCTTCAGTACCCTTGGTGGTTTGGTGGGGGCAGGGAGCCAGTAGAAAAGAAAGACAGGACTCACTGGCAAAAAACAATGAGTAAAATACCAGAATTCTTATGAAAATAATCAGTGCATAACCAAAGACCACCAAAACTAAAGGTAAATTGGAGAGATGATCTCCCTGACTCAACTTCCATAGTCGCCCCTTTTCCCTTTAGCCTGCTTTCATGTTTATATCAGCCTGGTTTTAAAATGTTAAAGGGTATAAAGAAGGGCATATTGAATTCAGTCATGGGATCCACACACCTACCCCCTCCCCAAAGTGGCAGAAATGGATTCCCTAAGACAGCAGTTCTCTACAGTGCATTCCACAGGCCCCCGGGGTCCCACTGCATGGAATCCATAAGGTCAAATCTGGTTTTAAAATAATACTAGGATATAATTTGCCTCTTCTCATTGTGTTCATACTGGTGCTGATATGGCAAAAGCAATGGTGGGCAAAACTGTTGGTTACACAACCTGAATTAAGGTAATGACATCAAATTCCATCGGAAGTTGCACTAACATGCACTTTAAAAATTCCTGCTACTAAGGAGTCAGATGCAGGAGGATTGCAAGTTTGAAGCCAACGTAGGAAACTTAGTGAGATCCTATCTCAAAAAATAAAAAGATGTAGCTCAGTGGCAAAGCACCGCTGGGTACAACACTGACACCACAAAAAAAAAAAAAAAAAAAGTTTCACAAGAAGCTCAGGATAAAGCAATAAGAATTGTTAATTTTTAAAACTCTTGACCATTTTTTGCTCTTGAAAGTATGCTCATTTAATTGTTATAAAAAATTACTATACTAGTAGATAAGAGATTTATTGTTATAATTTTGATAAAGTTGTAAAAATTTTATTTTAATTTTTAATCACAAATATTAAAAGACATAATTCATACAAACAAAAAACTCTTTTGAGATTCTCAAAATTTTTTAAGTGTGTAAGATTATGGGTGTGTGCCACCTATAATCCTGAGACTAAGAGGCATAAAACTGTTGTTTTAAGGCAACGAAATAAGAGAAAATTCTGAAAATTCAAAATATTCAGCTCCAGTCCATGTATAGATAAATTCATTTATTGTCACTATGTCACTAAGTTATGTTTATATTGTACCTAACATATACATATGAATTCTCTAAGAAATTTTAATACAATTTAAATTATCTTTGGTATATTTTTGGTAGAAAGATATCAAGAAATGACTCCAATATTCCTTGATTGTTTGGGCATTACTGAAGGGAGCCAAGTGAATTACATACCACACTTGGTTTACTCTTCCTTTTTCTTTCTCAAAATCATATTTAGTTTGTAAAAAAGGTGGTCAGGGTTGGGGATGTGGCTCAAGTGGTAGCATGCTCGCCTGGCATGCACGTGGTGCTGGGTTCCATCCTCAGCATCGTATAAAAATAAAATAAAGATGTTATGTCCACTGAAAACTAAAAAATAAATATTAAAAACTCTCTCTCTCTCTCTCTCTCTCTCTCTCTCTCTTTAAGGAAAAAAAAAAGGTAGTCACTGGACATGGTGATACACACCTATAATCTTAGCAACTCAAGAGGCTGAGGCCAGAGAATCACCGGTTTGAGGCCAGCCTTGGGAACTTAGTGAGACCCTGTCTCAAAATAGTTTTTAAAAATGAAAAGGTCTCCGGGTTGGGGGTGTAGCTCAGTGGAAGAGTGCTTGCCTAGCATGTGTGAGGCACTGGGTTCGATCCTCAGCACCATATAAAAATAAATAAATTAAAATAAAGGTACTGTGTCCACCTACAACTAAAAATTTTTTAAAAAATGAAAAGGTCTGGGGATATAGCTCAGTGGTTTAATTCCAAGTACCACCAAAAGATATGTAACAAAACAAACAAACAAACAAAAAATAGTAGGTACTAAGCCTTTTCAGGTTAGACTTCCCATGCTTATTTAATATTCTGTTATATTTTATAAAGGACTTTGTGGTTTCCTATGATCTGTCATATGATAGGGAGACTGCATATTACTCCTCTAAAATTGAGGACATAAAACTTCTAAACAAGATTTCTCAACATTTTTGTGAGATGATAAAAATGCTGTAAGGCAGGCCCCAAATGGCTGTAGTTAGGCTCCCACCTCTAGGCTTCAGGTGTTTTCTGTGTGTAGTCAAGGTCATCACCACTCTAATTCAAAATATGTACTCAAGTACACAAACATTTGTTTGTGAGCACTGTCCGAGGTAACCTGTAGGCAGTCTGCCTTCTTCTTTTTTTGGCCTGCATTTAAAAAAGGCCTGAGGAAATGGCTTGGGGGCAAAATGGAACTGACTAGGGGCTGAAGCTGGAGCTGGGAGCTAGGGGTTGGGGGTTATTGCCATCCCTGAATAAAGTATATCTAGATCCCAACTGTGTCTTGCATCTTCTTCCATCTGCTGGATCCCCAATCTGTTTCTCAGGATCTGAACTTCTGTACAACAAATGCTGACTTTTATTTCCAAGCCTGTGTCCACTCCACAATAAATAGGAAAGTAAGGTGGGGAGAGCAGTTGGAGCTTAAATTTCACAGTGGAAATATTTTTAAATTGAATTTAGTTGTAATAAGGAACCCAAAACTCAACAGGAGTGGTGGGACCCAAACACACTCTTAACACTCCTAAAAATGGGAGTTTTAATAATATAAAATATTAAAAATCAGCAAAAGCTGCAGAGGGATGGATATACAGCTATACTCCTAGGCCCAGGTAAGAAAATTTAACTATATAATCTACTACATTACCTGCCAATATCTGATGACCCTTCAGAGCCAGACATGTTTTCCCATCTGGGGCTTTCCTAAAACCTTCACGACATGAGCACTGAGCAGTTCCAAACCTCTCTTGACAAATATGTTCACAGCCCCCCTTCTGATGTAAGCAGGGATCTGCACCTAGTAGAGAAGAGGTTAATTCACAGATGAGTTTGTAAAGGATGCTATTGATGGAAATCACAGTCCACAGCTTTTGGGGAGAGCAGCTGAGTGTATCAATAGCAAGGGAATGTCAAGAGTTGTTTCAGAAGAGTTCCCAAAAGGAGCCACTGATTCTAAGGTACGCTCAGAATGCGATGACCTTGTGAGTATTTATTGAGTACAGCTAGTAATTTTATTCAAAAAACTCTTTAGTCAGATGTGATTCTTATTTCCTGACTCATAATCTAGTCTCACTGACAAAAGACAATTCAGAAAGAAGAGCTACAGTAAGAAGCTAGATGCTTCCTCCACTTGCTTATTCCTCTCCAACATTCACTTACTGGCATGTCAGGGGGTGGGGAAAAGCCCAAGTGTAGGTGGAAGCTTCCACTGCAAGCACCTAAAATGCCTGTCCTTGGTGCCTTTTGCCTGAGGGTCTTTGAAATTTGAAGCAAAAGCTACTGGAGAAAAGATGAGGTTGGTGAGATAAAGCCCAGATTACCAACACTACCAAATTAGGGATAAAACTTAAATCACCAAACTTCAAACTGTCTTAATCAAAATGAAGTAAAAATCTTAGAAAATCTTAATATTTATGCAGATTAGTGAAAAATGCAAAACCCCCTCTTCCCCGCTGTTGGCTGTCAATTAGAATAGTTGCAGATTCCAGCCAAGGAAAGACTGCATAACATCTCCAGTGTACCTGGTTTTGCCAATGGATGAACCACAACCAGTGAGGAGGGCTTCAGCATGCTGCCTCGGAGACGTACCCTGTTTTTGCCAGTCCTCTTGTTCACCCTTATTATCGATGGCATAGCCCAATCTGAGAACCACACGTGATCCTCAAACACAGCTACAGCAAATGGATGACCTGGAAGCAATTCAAATTTATTAAATATGCCTTCATGATCTTTTTCAGTGAATATTTACAAGAAGACAAATCTTGAAATCTACATGATTCTTACACTAATCAGTTCTTTACTGTAGTGGCTCAGCAAGGAGAACCCCTATGATGAGGGAACCACATTTTAGAATGGGAGCCTCGTGGTTGAGGTCCTAGGAAAATCCAGAAATGATTGTCTTAACAGAACCTAGAAGAAAGAGGTCAAGGCAGGAATGTTTGATGCTGAACACACCTAACACTCTTTACAAACTAAAGCTATTTTGCTGCTCTTTGCCTCAGGTTCCTTGTCTTTTGAATGGTTGTAATAAGCAGTAGGGCAAAATCACAGGTTGCTGGAAGAATTTTTACAATTTTGCGGTAACTGAGTGTTTCTTCAAATTCTGTTTCTACCAACATATCTCCCTGAGTTAGGCCCCCACCTCCTTTCCTCTCTCTCCTCTTACCTAATTCTAGACAGTGACTGTGCTCCTGGTGTCATCCTTCCCATCTTCTATAGGGTCTTATTTCATCAGCAATTACCTCTATCTCCTACACAGTCACTCTCCTCACTCCACTAGCTTCTTTCCCTCAGTCTACTCGTATCCTCTCTTCTGTCTTAATTTCCTCACCTCCCTGAACCCTCTATCTTTTGTCTCTTTCCTAAAGAAGGTTTTTTTTTTTTTTTTTTTTTTTTTTGAAAGAGTCATGTATTATCTGATGCCTCCATTTTCATGGCTCCTAGTTATTGACCATTTTGTGGGCTTCCTTGACCCCTCCTCAAGCAAACCCACCTCGCATACCATTAAAACTGCTTTCACAAGGGATCCAAGTACAAGAAAAGCATTAAAACATTTTCACAAACTATCTTCAGCAGTTAAACACTAAAGCTAAGGAAACCCAAGTTTGGAAGCTTGAATCATGTGTATTCACACTTCCCAGGCCAATCTTTTTGCAAATGAGCAAGAGATTGCTGGATTAGAATAAATGTCTCCCTCTATTGGCAGCACACTCAAATGACTTGTCCTGGCAACAGTGAGTCCACTCATCACTGTTGCCCAAGATGTATAAGATTCACTTCAGTCTTTAGCCCTTTGTCCCAAATTATCAGAAATACAAACGCAAGGGAATTTTGTTTCATAGCTATAGTTTTTTGTTTTTGTTTTTGTTTTGTTTTGTACCAGGGATCAAACCCAGAGCACTTGGGGTCTTGCTAAGATGCTGAAGCTGGCTTTGCACTTTCGATCTTCCTGCCTCAGCCTCCCAAACTGCTGGGATTATAGGCATGTGCTACCAGGCTGGGTGCTATAGTTCTTTTTATCATGGCAAAAACACCTTACACTGGGACTGCAAATTGGTGCAGCCAATTTGGAAAGCAGTATGGAGATTTCTTGGAAAGCTGGGAATGGAACCACCATTTGACCCAGCTATTCCCCTTCTCGGTCTATTCCCTAAAGACCTAAAAAGAACATGCTACAGGGACACTGCTACATCGATGTTCATAGCAGCACAATTCACAATAGCAAGACTGTGGAACCAACCTAGATGCCCTTCAATAGACGAATGGATAAAAAAATGTGGCATTTATACACAATGGAGTATTACTCTGCATTAAAAAATGACAAAATCATAGAATTTGCAGGGAAATGGATGGCATTAGAGCAGATTATGCTAAGTGAAGCTAGCCAATCCCTAAAAAACAATTGCCAAATGTCTTCTTTGATATAAGGAGAGTAACTAAGAACAGAGTAGGGACGAAGAGCATGAGAAGAAGATTAACATTAAACAGGGATGAGAGGTGGGAGGGAAAGGGAGAGAGAAGGGAAATTGCATGGAAATGGAAGGAGACCCTCAGGTTTATACAAAATTACATACAAGAGGAAGTGAGGGGAAAGGGAAAAATAATACAAGGGGGAGAAATGAATGACAGTAGAGGGGGTAGAGAGAGAAGAGGGGAGGGGAGGGGAGGGGAGGGGGGATAGTAGAGGATAGGAAAGGCAGCAGAATACAACAGACACTAGTATGGCAATATGTAAATCAATGGATGTGTAACTGATGTGATTCTGCAATCTGTATACGGGGTAAAAATGGGAGTTTATAACCCACTTGACTCAAAGTGTGAAATATGATATATCAAGAACTATGTAATGTTTTGAACAACCAACAATAAAAATTAAAAAAAAAACACCTTACACAAAATTTACCATTTTAACCATTTCTAAACATACAGTTCAGTTGTATTAAGTATATTAACATATTGCTGTGGAAACAATCTCCATGACTTTTTCATCTTGTAAAGGTGGAACCTTATACTGATTAAACAACTCTCCATTTCTTTCTCCCTTCTAACCCCTGGTAAATACTTTTCCACTTTCTTTTATTTAATATTTATTTTTTAGGTGCAGATGGATACAACACAATGCCTTTATTTTTATGTGGTGCTGAGGATCAAACCCGGGTCCTGCCCATACTAGGCGAGCGCTCTACCGCTGAGCCACAATCCCAGCCCTACTTTTCCACTTTCTGTCTGTATGAATTCAACTACTCTAGATACCTCAAATAAGTGGAAATGTATACAGTATTTCTCTTTGGGGGACTGGTTTATTTCACTTAGCATGATGTCCTCAAGGTATGTCCATCCATGTTGATGCACATATTAGAATTAGCTATAGTGTTTCAACAAATAAGCCATACTAGACATAATCCTTATTTTTTATCAAAGAGCCATAATTAATTGATTTTTTAAAATTAAAAATGAATTCATTCAATCTTTATGTTAAAAATCCTGAATTGGCTGTTGTGAAACCACGAAATAAATACTAGTAGATGGCTTTATAATGAGGAGGACAGTTATTTAGATAATTTAATATAAAATTATTTGATAATACCCTTCAATAGAAAGTCACATTAGTTATAGATCACAATATTTTAAAAAAATATTCATTTTTTAGTTACAGGTGGACACAATATCTTTATTTTTATGTGGTGCTGAGGATCGAACCCAGTTTTTTACATTCTAATTAGGAAATTTCAAGTCCCTTTTTACCCTCTATGTCAAAGTCATGATTTTATATTTATTGGGAAATATTTTTAAAATATTTATGTCTCCTCAACCAGATTCCATGACTTCACAGAAATCCTATTTGTTATTAAGCCCTGTATCTCCACCTTCTATGACAATTGAATAAAAACCTGTTAAGTACATGGGTGGGTAGAGCTAAAACTGTATACAAGTTTATCATTTATTACGAGGTATGTGTTTCATTTAAAAAAAAAATCTTAGAAATACCTAAAAAGTTTAAATCATACTTATCTTACCCTATTTCACATATAACAGAAATCTAAAACATGATTGCCTTTAAAACTAAAGAAAATAGGCAAAATAAATGTTTTATACAGATTTTTAGTTTGTTAATTTCCTAAATGATAGAGATCTTGCTTTTTTTTTTTTTTTTTTTAATCTCTCCAACCAGTTTTCTAAATCTCCAAAACATATTCAATACTTTCCTGGCTCTCATCTTCTATATCCTACCTGTTATTATATCCTCTCAGTTTTTTTTTTAATCCACAATAATTTTTAATTCTCCATTCCACTTTTAAATGACAATGTTTTATACTCAGACTTTCATTAATTGTTGCCTGGAAAACTGATGTAGCCTCCTGTTTTTTTTTCTGCCTAAATTCCAGTCCAACCCCTTACACTGTTATCTAAGTGGTCATCCTGAGATGCCAATCTTGTCTACATCTCCTGCTCAAGAGCATTCAAAGCCTCCCTAGTAAATTCAGAATTAAGTTCAGTCACTATGTCCCAGCATTTATAACATACAAAGGCCATTTTTTGCCTTTTGTCACCATCTATTTACTACATGGCCCAGTTCAAAAACTGTCTTTGCAAATTCCCTGAATCATAATGAATCTCACGCTGCTTATGTAGTTTCAAAGACATTTATACTTCTATTTTAAAGGCTGTAGTGTTTTAAAGATACTTATGACAATAATGATACCCCATACAAAATGTGAAAACACAACAGTGGACAAACTATATTCATTAATATTTGCACATGTTATCAACTGGTATTCATTAGTGTCTGAAAATGATATCATCACTGCTGTGAAATGAAATTTTCTAAAACATGAGAAATGATAATAGATGAACCAAGTTTTTATTCCCAAGTAAGTTCAGAAAAATGGGACATTTTCATGCTGATTTTGAGAAATCTTGGAAAAGAGAAATGATTATACAACACTACCTTTTACCAAACATTCCAATGTTAAAGTGATCCTCATAGCTCATAATTCCCTGAAGAAGTGCCCCTATTCCTTTCTCACTGTATGGTTAAGAGTGTGTGTATGTGTATGTGTGTGTAAACATGCTTTACACTGAACACTCAATCAAGATGAAGAAATCAGCCACCCAAAGCCTCACCTACATCGTTCTGGGCAAGTCTTTGGCGTTTGGAACCATCCAGACTGGACATTTCAATCACAGACCGCTTGGCATCACACCAATACAATGTGTCCATTACGTAGTCAATGGTTATTCCACTGGGCTCTACCAGATCTGAACTGGCTATCACCAGCCGGCCAGAGCCTTGAAGGGAAGAACTTTCAATTCGTGGATTAATCCCCATATCAGTCCAGAATAATCTCCTTTAATCAAGAAAGCACACAATAAATGAAATCTGCTTGAAAGGGTTCTTCTACTTTCTTATCATTGAGAATATCAATAAAAATGATGTTTGGACATACTAAAGTGGTACACTGAAGAATGCAGAGAGAATATAACATGGCATCTTGAAAACAAATAATTTTCAGAAGCAAAACAAGTATCTGGTCTATGTAAAACATCTTGGACCAGAAATACTGAATTACAGATCAGATCATTAGATTTAAAAAGGAATTAGTTTAAAAATTGTAGTAATATTATCAAAGTGTGCTTGAGTGAATACTTTGATATTACTGAAAAGTCATGAATCTTGCTAGCCTGTTAAAAGGCAAGTGACTCACCCAAGGTGGAGATTCAACCAAGAGATTTTATTGGGGGGCTGCCCGAAGGAGAAGAAAAAGAGAGGCAGAGAGCAGAGGAGAGGAGGAGGGCAGAGAGAAAGAGAACAGAGAGGAAGAGAGAAGAAAGAAGTGAGAGGAGAGAAAGAAGAGGAAGAGGGGAAGAGGGCAGAGGGCAGAGAGCAGAGAGGGTATGCTTATAAGTTTCAGCTTAAGAAGGGTTGAGTAGGGGACGTGGCAGGTGCTGATTGGCAGGGTGACTCAGGAACTGGGAGCTGACACTGTGTCCTGCAGGGATTGGTTGAGAAAACCTTTGAATTTGGCGCTCTTGGACTTGACGCCCTTCTGAGAGAAGGGAGAGGGGTTAGGGATTCTGTGACGTTCTCAGGAGATTGAAACATAACTTCAGCGGGGAGTCTCCCACATACCCAACACCTGTTTTCTGTTATGCATGAGTAAAACTATAACATAAAAGGAAAAGCACATTTATCTGTTTTCCAGTTTTACAGTGCACTGTTTACTCAGCTAATTTTAAGTTCCATAATCAGGTGCCGGACACCTACTTATTTTTTTAAGTCAGTATGGTTCAATATATACTTATTGGCCTGTTTAGAGTTGGTTATATTCGCACTGCTTTAATTTGGCTGACTACAAATCAATTCTCAATTACTACAATATATTATCTCCCATGGACCCCTGTGAAATTTCCATCATAAATAAAACCGGGTTGGTTTTTGTCTTTGCTTTTTAACAATCAGGAAGGAATCCTTTATTCTCCTTAATTCTCTAACCCCTAAGCTAAAATGTGATACTAATTCAATAATAAACAGCATAAAATCTTTTAAATTTTCATAATTTATATTTAATCTTGTCTAAATCTAGAAATGGCCTATCATGTGAAATCATCTTATGGCTTCCCTAAATGGAATTCATAAGTCACACAATCCAAATTCTTTTCTGCTCAATAAATAATCATGTAGATTTTTAAAGAGTAAATTAATGGACTTAAGTCTAATTGGTTAATGATGTACAGCCTATTTTTAAAAAAGAAATTGAATTTGCTTAAAATAAAAAGGCATGTCAACAAAATTACTACATAAGAACAGAAAATCAAAAGACATTAAAAAGATGAGGAATGCTTGCTAGTCACATCATTTCTGAACATTTATAGATCTCATGGATTTTCTTGGCTTCTGATTCCACTGACCACCTGAAGTCTTAAGATAAATTATGGACCCTGGCATAACAAATATGAACTGTCATGTGACCTATGCAGAAAGGTACCTTATTGTCTTAAATACCTACTTGGCCACTGGATGAACAGCAATTCCTCGGGGCTGAGATAGGTTCTCCTTAAGGATTATTTGACGATGTTTTCCATTTAAGTCACTCCCTTCAATGAGAGATTTCCTAAAATATACATAAAATAAAAGTGTTTGTTATTTTCAACTTGATTTTTCAAAAGAAAGTTCTCTGCTCCTGGTATGCAAAGATAGACATTCTGAACTACTTCCCCACCCCCGCCCTTTTTTCTCTTTCTCTAACACACACACACACACACACACACACACACACACACAGTTAGCACCAAGAAGCCCACAAATTCTATTGTTTTGAAACATATTCTTAATTAGTATCCCAATATTTATACCAGGAAATTAAAATACAAGGGGACAAGATAAGTAAAAGGGGATTCTCCAAGACAAGAGCCCACCCAGTTTCCAGGGTATGAGTTGTCCATCAAGAATCCTAAAAGTAAATTTTATCTTATGGTAGTTTCTGTTACCCCATAGAATGAGTAAACACATTTACTTTCTTGGCTCTTTTTTATACGGCAATTGGCTTTAGAAATTAGGATTCCTTAATACTAAATAATAGCATTGCCAGTGAAATTATTAATTAGTTTCCTTCCTAGGTATAAGATGTTAATTTGAACATGCCTTTTCCTACACCAGGAGAGACTATAACCATCCCTCTTTGGTTCCCATTTGGCAAAGAGTTACTATGTAATCTAATATCACAGGATTAGAATCTCAGTATTTAAATCCAATTTCTAACTAATATCAAGGTTTTCAAACTATAAACCTCTCATTTGCAGACAAATTAAAGGTTGTCTTTTAGCAGCTGCCTTTAGAGGGGTGAGGACTTAAAAAGGACTAGTCATTACTGAAGTCAATAAAGTAGGGGATTTGAGGTCTTATTCTCTAGGATATGGAGGTTTCTATCTCCTGAAAGCATTGCCTCTGCAGTAGGTACCATGGTGCTATTAATCAAACACTGTTAAAATTAGAGGTGACTTGCAAATTGGGGGAAATATGAGAAGACCAAGCATCCTTAAAAAGCCTAAGAGTGGTTGACAACTGTCATCCTGATCAACATTTACTCTTACAAGAACAACTATGTTTGAGTTCTATTATTATGCATAGCTGATATTTAAAATTTCTATTAAGTAGTTCAACATGAAGGAGGCTGATATTATGATTTATAATTTTGATAACCGACTTTAATTTGTTACATGACTCTGGGTGGAGCACATTAATCAACTCTGATTGAAGGAGGCAGAATTATTCTGTGGTGCTAGAAATTGAACCATGGGGTGAGTATAACTCAGTGGTAGAGCTTCCTAGGTGTAAGATATTAATTTGAACATGCCTATTCCTAGGTCAGTAGAGACTATAACCATCCCTCTTTGGTTCCCATTTGGCAAAGAGTTACTATGTAATTTAATATCACAGAATATTAGTATAGCTCTACCACTGAGCTATAATCCCAGCCCATCTCTTTAATTATTAAGAGGATAAGCTTTGGAGATGGTTATCCTTGCATTCCAATTTCATATCTACTACTTATGTGCTCCTTGATCTTGGGAAAGTCATTTTACCTCTTTGACTATTGATTTTCTTAACCTTTAAATTGGAGGTAAGAAAACTTACCTCTTTGGGATTTCATAGTATCATGGGTATAAGGCTCTTAGCCCAGTGTCTAATGCACTATAGTTGTTCAATAAGTAAACATACAAATAATAAAGTAATAAAGGTCTGATTAAGTGAACAAAGGAATAATGAATGAGTAAAAAATAAACTTGCCCTGAAAACAAAAGGGCCATTTTATACATAACTTCACACCATACCATACATGTGGCTTGTTTTGTAGAACCTGTTTCCCATCAGTTATCCAGACCAAATGAGATTTTTCTAGGACATAGAAAACCTACACTCAAGCATATAAACCCATTCCCTGGGACTTGCCCATGTAAGAAGTGCTGTCTTCGCAGAGGTGAAACATGGCTGCATAGTTGCCTGATATCCAGGATGGCTACCATTTCACTTCATGGCACTCAGTTATTTTGACAAAATATCCTAGAACACACAGCACCCTTCATATTATCCTGTGAGGGGCTCTAGTTTAAGGTTCCTCTGGCACCATAAGGGATGCAATCCTTCTTATTGACTCTCCTCCACCCTACCCTGTTCTGTTCCCAGGCTCACACAGAGCAGCCCTGAGAGTAGGGTACCCAGAGGACAGAAATACCCCAACTTCACTTTGATTCTGTGGTTACCCACCAAAAGGAAAGTGGACCATCCCTCTGTTCCCCTGAAATTTCATCAAAACTCCATAAGCCCCACTTCATGCTGGCTCAACAGGAACCACATTTATCTCTTGAATGCTGGGTACCCTGGAATAATTCAGACTCTCTGAGCTTTACATTCTTCACATGTAAAAAGAACACACTTAGGCTAGCTGATTTCTGAAACTCCTTCCAGCAATCCCTTGGGGAGTGTACACCCTTCACTGGGCAATTATACAAGGCCTCGACATTTCTTGTACTGATATTTAATCCAAGTACATGATTAAGGTTTTGCTGGGGAAATATGCCTTACCTCCCCAAATAAACTAAGAGCTGACTGCAAAGACGAGCACATCCCATTCTCCTTTGTATTCTCCCATGTTACCTAGGAGAGTGCCTCATCCTCAGCAGTTACTCAAAGAATGCTTACTAACTGTGTTCAGACAGGCCTTGGGTGTCTCACACACAATCTGAGGGGCAAAAACAGATGGCTGCTTTCTTGGTCTTTGAAATCCTCCTGTGGATATGGATTCAGTCTTGATGAAGGGAGGAGTATCTTGCTTGATGGTGGGCAGAGGCAGGCAAGTGGACAGCAATGGGGCCTGTCTCCTCCACTGGCTGGGTGCCAAGCACCCAGCAATATTTATCTGTGTTCAAAATGGAGGATAAAGCAAGTGGTGTATCTCTTTCATTGCTTCCATCTCCTGTGGCTTAAAAGTGAACCAGGAAGAAGATTAACATTAAACAGGGATGAGAGGTGGGAGGGAAAGGGAGAGAGAAGGGAAATTGCATGGAAATGGAAGGAGACCCTCAGGGTTATACAAAAGTACATACAAGAGGAAGTGAGGGGAAAGGGAAAAATAATACAAGGGGGACAAATGAATGACAGTAGAGGGGGCAGAGAGAGAAGAGGGGAGGGGAGGGGAGGGGAGGGGGGATAGTAGAGGATAGGAAAGGCAGCAGAATACAACAGACACTAGTATGGCAATATGTAAATCAATGGATGTGTAACTGATGTGATTCTGCAATCTGTATATGGGGTAAAAATGGGAGCTCATAACCCATTTGAATCAAAGGGTGAAATATGATATATCAAGAACTATGTAATGTTTTGAACAACCAACAATAAAAAATTAAAAAAAAAAAGAAGCAACAGAAAAAAAAAAAAAAGTGAACCAGGAAACATACCCTCTGTCTGTCCAGTAGAATCTTCGGCCAATCCAGTCCACGGCAAGACCTTCTGGCACATCTATTCCTTCCTCAATAAGCCTTTCTCTCTGGGAACCATCCATATTAGCTCTCTCTATCCATTTCAGAGCTGTGTGGGCATAATATATCTACAATAGAGAAAACAGGTGTTTCTAATTTGTCTTTAAAAACTGAACATGGAACATAGATAAAGGGGATGAGTAAGCCTTCAGGTCACCGAGTAAAATTGTTAAGAGCCCGGTTTAAAAATGAGTTAGACACATCAGCAACTAACTAAACCCCAACTATGCTGCTCCCAGATGTGTGTAACCAAAAGCAAGTTACTTAGTGTCTCAGAGTCTTAGTTTTCTTATTAGTAGAATAGGAATATAATATCAGCCTCATTAGGTCACATGATATGCATACATAAATTCTTAGTTCCTGGCACATAGTTCTACTCATTGTTTTTTCATATTTGATCATTGGGGGTTGGGGTTGTGGCTCAGTGGTAGAGCACTTGCCTGGCATGTGTGAGGCACTGGGTCCAATCCTCAGCACCACATAAAATAGGAATAAATAAAATAAAGGTTAAAAGAATATTTGATCATTAGTCAATGACATAGTCTTTGTACTGGAACACATCAGTGGCCTCTACAGCCTGAAAGGGAGCAATGATGTGTAATTTAATGAGGACACTAGGTAAGCTGTATCTTCTACTGTTCAGTACACAGCACTGCACTTCGGGGTGACTCAAAGACATGGGTTCCTCTCAGTTTTCTAATTTATTTGCAGGACTGCTTTGGTTACCTAACCTCAATTTTCCAGACTACAAAAATGAGGAAGTTACATATTTCCTAAGGTTCCTTTCATCTCTAAACTTACATAATTTTATTTTAATCTATCTGTCTTATCCAATTTTATAGGCACAAAGTTCTTTTTCAATCTAGTATGCAGGCTATCAGACATAAGAATTTCATCAGAGTATTAAATTGTCAGATGACAATTTAATGGAATTTGTGGAATTTTAACCGGGAGCTCATGTTTACCTAATAATCTCATCAATTATAGGTTTAGGTAAACATATGTGCTCACGATTAAAATTCCACAAATTCCATTAAATTGTCTTCTGGCTCATAGCATTTTTAATAGGCTATTATTTAATGAGTTCCCATTTTGTGAATGAATTATTATTTCATGAGTTACATTCATAAAGAAGAGGTAATATTTCATAAAGACAAATATGGGTACTTCTCATGAAAAAACTCTACTAGAACTGTGTTTCTCAAACTCAAATTTGCATATGAATCATCTGGAAATCTTGTTAAAATGTAGATTTGGATTCAGTGGACTGGAGAGAAGCCTACTAGTCCGGAAGTTGTATTTTCAGGTGATGTTGATGCTAGTTGCATCAAATACCAGAGTTTGAGTAGCAAGAAAATAAGAACATTAATCATTAAGTTAGTTAATGGAAATATTTTAAAAGTAAATAAACATATTCTGGATATTTAAAAAAAAAGAAGAAACAAAAGAGGGACTGGTCAGCCTTAATAATATAGAAATTCTAAGTTACATAAAAAACTTTTATGTAAAATTGAGTATTATATAAATAATGTTGCAAGACTGCCATTCCCACAACAGTCATAAAACTGTGCTTTCGGATTTTCATAGTTCAAAGGTCATGCAATTCCCTCTCTCAATGACATGTATTAAATGCAAATTACTAATTTATACTTTGACCCAACCTTAACTCCCTATTCTTCCCACTACTAGCAAATAATCAAAAAACCTATTTATGGAGCTCCTTTTGCATGAACTTGTGCTAGTCTCCCATCCTCATCTCCAAAGAGGAAACTAACCTGATAATCCTGTACAATCATCCCCAATAAAATCAGTGAATCCCAGCAAGAACCCTGCAAAGGGATATGATAACAGGAAAGCCTTATGATTTCCCAAATGATGTTCCACTATCTACATGTAAGTTGTTACAGGTCTAATCATTCTCAGTTTAACAGAAGATTTTCAAGTAGCCAATGTCATCTGTTAGGATAATCTCCTCTGTTCTGTCTTTATAGCACACTCACATCTGTTCAGGCAACAAACCCATACCTTATTTTCCACAGGGTCATGATCTAGTGCAAAAACTGTTCCCATCTGCTTGCTGAGCAGGGTTCCATAATCTGTTCCATCAAAGTGCATATGACGAATATCTTGAGAATTGGCAAACATCAAAAATGGTTGTGGTCCTGTTAATTAAATTTCCAATATGTCTGTGTTTAAAGCATGCCTTAAAACACAAAAGGCACTTCTACTCTTCCCTTTCATTGCACCCTCTTCTTCAATTTCTACAATGTTAGTCTTCTAGTTTCCCACCAGTGTGATATAGGCAAAAACAGGCAGGAAGCCATTCTGTACCATGAAGTAGCACATTGCCAAAATTTTATCACTAGATTCTTCTTCTCTAGATGTCTGCTTTTAAAATGCAAATTACTTTTAAAAAGCCACACTAAATTACCAAAAGCATAATTAAATGATGCAAATCTTAGGGCTGTAATCTCCTTGTATCACACATATTAAATTCATATTAGAATAAATAAACTTCCTTGACCTAGGCTCTTCTGAAAGGGACATGTGATTATTTAAATTTATAATAAGACCCCTTGAGTATTCTCAGTACTCAAATTATACTATATTACTGAGGCCTTGAAAAGTTGAGAGTATTGTGCTCTAAGTCCAGCTATATAGAATCATTATTATGTTATTCCAATTATCAGCATAATTAACGTTCAGGAGAGATGAAATGCATTTGGCATAAATCTAAGATTTCCAAGGCTGTTGAAAGACACAAGAGATAAATATCAGAAGATGAAAAAATAGCAGAAGCATACAATTTAATATTAAATTTTGACATGAAAAGAACAGAATTTATCAAAGTATTATAATTATTGCATTCACTAGAGAAATGAAAATCAAATCAACAATAACAAATATTATTGAACACCTCTTAACTATAAAGTATATAAGTATATACTTAAATACTATAAGGTATTTAAGACTATTCTGGTCATAACTTTCTTTTTTTATTTTTTTGGTAATACTGGGGATTGAACCCAGTGCCTTGTGCATGCAAAGCAAGCACTCTACCAACTGAGCTATATCCCCAGCCCCCATAACTTTCTTATCTACTAAAAATACCATATATGACATTATGGCAAATATTTTTTGCTGGATGCCAGAAATATTCTTTAAAAACATGATTATTATTTATGTTATAATTAATTAATTATTCATATTCATAAGATTCATTTTCCATTTCCAAAAATAAAAAAATCAGATCTTCTATCAAGAAGCCAAAAGCAATTCAACTTCCCATCTTTCTAAATAAAATACTTTCATGTTATCTTTTGCAGAAACACACTTCCAAACAACCCCAGCACTAACCTGAAGCAGCACAGCTTTTTTGGTCTGGTTGTAGGTCATACCCAGGAAAGCAACTACATTCCCAAGATACTGGGCTGAGAGGAAGACAGAGCTGGCTACAGCCACCGTTATCAGGTGATGAACAGCCTACAAAAAACAGTTGCTTTGTAATGATGTTAAGTCATTCAATATATTATAATTTTCACCAAAGTATGGAATGTACCAACTATATGTTGATTTTGAAAACCACCTCCTCAATCATTCAGACAGCTGCAATCAAGTTTATTTTTCAGAATATCCTAAGTGCCCCCCTTCAGTAAACTCAACATCTTGAATGATAATGCCTCACATTCCAATGACCCCCATCCTCTTGTTGCAACCCTGAGTTCAAGAACAAGCATGCTGACAACTGGTTGAAGAACACAGTAAGTTTTAGTGGGTGTGGTAGCTGGTCTAACTCTTTCTAATGAGTAATGCATTTTTTTCTCGCTTGCATTTTCAGTCTATTGACTTCTTTTGCATTTCCTAGGTTTTAAAAAATCTTAATTGGCTTTACTTTTAATTCTAAAAATGGGCACACTTCCAGCAGAATAGAATAGACAATATGATTGATGTATGTACATTCCATGTATGTATTATATGTCAAAATATATTCTGTCATGTATGACTAAAAAAAATAAATCGTATGGTATAAATTAAAAAATGGGCACACTTTATCCCATAAAATTAGCATTCTCTTCTATTTTTTTTTAATATTTATTTTTTTAGTTTTTTTCTGTAGACACAACATCTTTATTTTTATGTGGTGCTGAGGATCGAACCCAGTGCCCTGCGCATGCCAGGCGAGCGCGCTACTGCTTGAGCCACATCCCCAGCCCCTCTCTTCTATTTTTTTATTTAAAAATCATAAAGCTGTCCATGAATTTTCTTTTAATCTCGGGTTATATCCAGACTTCTTTATGCATAAACCTCTATAAAGATAAAAGTAGAGAGTTCCTTATTAGGTGCAATCAACAGACTGAGGACACTCTGCCTCTGCCATCTCATTCAATCCAGGAGGCAAGTCAGTACTGTTACAGATGAGGAAGCAAAGACTAAAAGAGGTCAAGTAACTATAGTCTAAAACACACTGCCATAACTGTAACTGGTAATACTACCTAAGGACTAACTTCAAAGCCCTTGATCAAAACCACTACACTATGCATCTTTTCTAAAAAGAAATTTAAATCTATATGTTAATCTGTTACATAAATATCTTTCAGTGTATAATACTGGAAAATCTATTCTCCTTTGGCAATAAGATCAGTTTTGGGGTATCACTTAGAAAATGTTTATATTCAAACCAATAAGAGGCAAATAAACTCACCACTACATGTTTTTCCATCTCTCCCAAGCACTGAGCCTTCAGGACAGAAACACAGGGGCCCATCTGATGTCAGAACACATTCATGGCTGCATTTAGATGCATTGCTTGGACAGGAAACGAATGCTAATTAATGAAGAACAAAGTTAAGATTAGTGTTAAATCAGAGTTGTGAAACTTTATTACAATCTGTTGCTAACAAAAAGTGTTCTCCTGAAAAAAAAGAAGTTAAAAAAAGAACAAACATTTATGAAATGCCATGGTAATTGTAGGTATAAAGAAAAAATTTCAAATCTGTAAACTGAAAGAGTTCTGATTTTGGAAAATGTATCCAGTTTCTTCTGAATTTCTATTATCTCAAATAAGATTTTTCAAGCTCTTAGTCATCAAAATTCTGAGAGTTTTGGAACCTGAAGAAGTGATTCTCAAGTTCACCTGGAAAACAAATTTCATGTACCAAAAAAAAAAAACTAAGGACATTTTATGAGCATGATTAGGTGTAGGAAGAGAAATGAGAGGCTCTTAACAAATATTAAAATGTATGATAAATTATCATATATGCATAATAATGTGCAATCATTAAAACAGTGGAGAATGGGTGTAGGAATAGACAGAAGATAATACAACAGGACAGAAAGCTCAGATTAGAAAAGATTAAAGTATACATAAGAACATACTGCGTAAGATGTTATTTTAAAATTAGTAAGCATGTGAAAGATCATCCAATAATGGTATAGAAATAACTGAATAATGATTCGGGAGAGAAATGTAAATCTCTACCCTATAGCAAATATTAAAATAAATTCCAAGTAAGGCAAATATGACATTGCATATGTAACATTAAACTTCTAGAAGGTTTGAGAATCAAGTGAGATTACATTTGCCACACTTGGTACACAGTGGGCCCTATGAGGAATTTACATCCTGTACTTCAGTATATTTGCCAGTGGGCAAAATTTGTGATATTAAGAGAGGGGCAAATTTCATAGACAAGCACAAGCATGCTGGGTAATTTCCAAGAAATTCATTATTGTTAGGTCCTTAGGCCAAAGTAATTCCATTTTGAAAATCAGCACCTGTCATCTTAAGAATCCCACCCAGGCATGACCTTCTCGTTAAGCCATCTCCGAAGAGTCCCTAACTACTGAAACCACAACAAAGATGCCAAGTAACAATCACAGGACCCTGGGTTATTTTGGTTTTTGATATTTTTTAGTTATACATGGACACAATATCTTTATTTATTTTTATGTGGTGCTGAGGATTGAACCCAGTACCTCACATGTGAAAGGCAAGCTCTCTGTCACTGAGCCACAACCCCAGCCCCCTGGGTTATTTTTTAACCACTTCATTGTACATGACTATATAGTTAAATTTTTTCAGCAGGCTGTTGCTCCTTGAAGAAGGGCAGCCTGGCAGATATTCTCTGTAAATAAATCTTTGCTTGACTCAGAGAAGTGTCTCTTATGGATATTTGCACCAGCTACCCTAACAATTATCATTCATCCATTTCAATGTGCCTGCTTTCATAAGCATAGACAATATCTAGACTGACTTATTCCACCATCTTTGAAGAAGGAATAGATAATAAACATGAGTTGAAACTCTCATTTGTACTTAGCCATACTAGTAGATTCAATAAAAAATTTATCTTAAGGTATCTGAATATTTAATCCTAAATTTGCACTGGGAATATCCATATACATTTAGAATGTATCTTTTTCTTTTTAATATGTGTATTGCCAGCATTGATGCCCCCAAAGACCTAGAAACAATGACTTACTCAAGCACAGATTATATTATATATATATATATGTGTGTGTGTGTGTGTGTGTGTGTATCCCAACCCTGGTAGTTTTTATTTTAAATATCTATAGTAAAATCTAGTTATCCATATTTCAAAAAGCAAAACAAAATTAAGCTCCAAGGTAATTCTGATGCACACTGCTAACTGAAGACTATCAACCCATCATAGTTCACTCAAAAACATTATTGAAAATTAAGAAGAATAATGCAATAAATACTTGTTTTTGTGACTTACGATGGCATCGTTTTCCATCAGAAAGCAGAACAAATCCTGCAGGGCATGTGCAATAATAGGATCCAGGAATGTTCTTACACCCAAGAGTACAGCCATGATTCCAAAAGGCACATTCATTGACATCTACACAATGACAAAAGGAAATCACAATCAAATGGTTGTTTCTGAAAATAAACTGTGATATTACTAATTAGTAAGCACAAAGTAGGGTGGTATATGCTGTAACTGACCATGGGAAGGATGTTTTTCCAATTCTCAGAAAGAGAAAAAGAAGTCAGTCCGATGATCATGAAAGGCATTTCTACTGTGTTATAATTTATACTGATTTTTTTGGACTAGAATTAACTTTTGATAAAAATATAGCACTATATGCCTTGAAACGATACAGCATGCCATTCAAGTTAGGAACTGTTGGAAGTTTCTTAATCAGTTTGGACAATTCCTATTCTGCTATTTACTTTTCTCAAGACCAAGGGGAGCCCTTCCCCTAAAAGTAGAAACACTCCTTAGCAGCTTTGCTCCAACTGAAGCGCCAGCCTTCCAGCTCACAGCTTCTGCACGTCACAGCTTTTCCCACTGGTGCCCTGTAATCAGGGGACTATAACTGCTGTAGGGACAAACGAGGCAAGGCACCGAAGACAGCAGGAAACAGTTTTATTTGGCTGCAGCCAGGTTCAGAGGGCACAGCCCTTGCTGTAATCAATCAATCCCCTGAACCCAGAGTTCAGGGAGTTTCAGAGTTTTATACCCAGCATGTAAGGGGAGGGGCTCAGAAGTTCACAGTCTGCAGAAGTTCACATAAAAGCAGCTTTTTCTTTCACTGTTCTGGACATGTTAACTCTTCAAGGACAACTCCTGAAAAGGGGAGAGCTTCTTTCTATCCTCCCCCTGCCAGCTGTTACCATGGAGCCCATTTGTAACTTATCTTAAAAATGTAGACATCTCTGTGAAGCCCAGCTCAAGGCCAGAGGCCTTGTTTGCACATTTCTTCAAAGTACTATACTGGATACCTTTGTGAAAAACTAGTAAGGAGGTGTCCAACACCTGGAGTGCTGGTATCCTCTTGACCAGTGGCCAAGTAAACAGGGTGACAAGAAAATAGGAAGTTTATCTACATTGGACTCTTTTTCTGACAGTCCTAAAATCAGCCATGGTGAAGGGGGCTTCTCTGTGGAGAAAGGGGATGCCCCTTCATAACTAGGTGCCAGATTTACCTGAAACTGATGCCACTTTATGTTTCCTGCAGCCATTGGGTTCTTTTCTTCCCTAAATCACAGCACCTTCCAGGAGAAGGGATGCAGTCATCTCGTGGGTTCATTAAATAGGGCTTGGAATTTTGAAACAGGAGGCGTCCTAGAGGACTAGCCTGAGCCTCAGTTTTCCTCGTTCCAGATTAGATCTTTATGGAATAGATGTGACAGTCATATGCTCTGAGAATCCGATGGTAGCTATGGAACCGCTCTCTTAAAAAGTGCCTATCCTGAAATTTTGCACAAAGTCAAACGCAAAGAGGCTCAGAGAATCCCCTCCCGCTCCTTATCAAAACCCCTGAGCAGCCTCTGTATTTGAGGTAGGAACACAGGATATTGTTTCTAAAAAAGAGACCTCGGAGTATTATAAAGACTTTAAAAACAGAAGAAAAAATAAATAAAAGTGCTCTCCTGGGTTAAAGCAAGCTAACTTGAAGTGGATTTCCCGGTGACGCCCTCCTCGCCCCTGAAGACAGTTCTTGACGTCCGACACTCCCCCGCCCTCCGCGGGGCGCGCTTTACCTTCACAGGACTTCCGGTCTCGGCTGAGCGCGTAGCCCTCCGCACATGCGCACAAGCGCGACTTGGAGTCCTGCCCGCACGCTCTGCTGCTGCAGTTAGCTTTCTTTAGTTTGCGAAGTTCCTTTTCTGGAACAGAAGATGGTTTATTAGGAACCTGTGGATATGTGTTTTGACAGAGGACAGTGCTCCATCCCTGCACGGTTCTTAAACTGGCTTCTCTTGTCGCCTCTTGCCACGGTGGCGCTGCTCTGGAGTCCGCTGTAGCTGGGATGCGCCTGCATTTCAAAGTCCTTATTTCTTTAATTGTCTTATAGTAGCTCTCAGGATAGGGCGTCCTAAATAGCTGGAGATGTCATTCCTTGGGTTGCTAATAGTACAATCTATCTGCTTTTTCATTCTAACATAAAAAGCACATAAACAAAATTCTGTTCAAGAAATAAAGAAACAAAAAACTTAAGCACATCTTTTCCTGAGTGTAATATTTACAAGTCAGAGGCAGATGGTATTTAACTGTTTTTATGATTGTTATTTTAAAAAAATCTTTCAGACTTAATGTATATTATTTATTGCTATATGTCTTTATCCCCAAATTTCTGAGTTTATTGCTGACACATCCCATATGTTATGAACTATCCCAAGTGAATTGGAATTTGCTCAATGAAATGGGTGCTTGGGTTGAATTAGCTACAAATTGGGTTGAGTTAGGTGTGTTTGCTTGCTTACGTTATAGTTATCTATTTTGGGGCGCTTGAGTTAGATTATCTATACTGAACCAACTTGATATATGACCAACTTAGTACCTCTGTTTTTCAAAGCCCAAAGTCAAGGGCTAACCTAGTAGTAGCATGTATATCCTGTTTCAAGAGTTTAACAAGATTTTTGCATCTTTTGCTTCTTATTTTTTTGTCGATTTTAATGACAGAACCTTTGTAAAATGCTATGGGAAATACAGATAAGCTTAAGTGTGGGGACAGATGCCCAGAATGCAGGTAGACATGAAGCAGTGATCTGGCAGAAGGTAAAGGTCAAGGAAGAGCACTGGGTCATGGAGCCTGAAGTCTGGCATGGTTAAGATCTGCTAGAGATTGCATAATGAGAAGAGCACAGGGTCTCAGCCAGGACTGTGGAGAACACCAGCACTGTTGGGGGAAACACAGAAAACAAATCAGCAAGAACCTGAGCAGAGCAGTTGCAGCTGGGTCCTGTTCCCCCAAGTGCATTTGCTCTCTGATCTCTTTCTTTACTTCTAGAGATGTCCCCTTCACTTGACTTGACCTATTTCCTTCTATTTCAAATCACTCTTACAAGATAAAATTTCAGCAAATTTGGTTAAATGACCTATAATTGGCTTTTTATTTTCAATCCATGAATCAAACAGCATTTCATCTATTAATAGAGGGGTGCTACACTGGGCATGGCAGAACAGTCTGGTTTTGTATGGCAGTTCGAGCAGAAACAAGAAAATGGCCTAATAAAAAAAAGTGGACTGGTTAACATCAGGTTATTCCAGCTTCCTTTCCAGGTAAAGGTTAAAACAGGGCGGACTTCTTTATCATGCTGGGGAGAACTGACAGGTTTGGGGATTTATCCATCACCTTTTCCTGATATCATAGGAGGTTAGATAAACAACTTGGTTTTGGTTTGGGGATCTGGAACTTCAGTATGAATGACTCCATTATGATTAGGTCTGCTGGAGCCTCATGCAGGAGCTCTGTTCAAGTCAGTGGCCTCTGATAAATTTTACCACTAAAAATGTTCTTGACCAACAGCCGCAGAATTCAATAGAAACATATTTTTGTTGCATTGAGAAAATCCCAAGTGTACAGAGAACATATTCCCCTCTTGGGATTCTAGTTTGTTATGAGGGAGAGCCTTCATACCAAAATCTATTTTTTTTTATTTGCATTTCCTTGAATGCAAACTTTATTTATTTAAAATTTTTTTTATTGGTTGTTCAAAACATTACAAAGCTCTTGACATATCATATTTCATACATTTGATTCAAGTGGGTTTTGAACTCCCAATTTTACCCCAAATACAGATTGCAGAATCACGTCGGTTACACATCTACATTTTTACATAATGCCCTATTAGTAACTGTTGTATTCTGCTACCTTTCCTATCCTCTACTATCTCCCCTCCCCTCCCCTCCCATCTTCTCTCTCTACCCCATCTACTGTAATTCATTTCTCTCCTTGTTTATTTTCCCATTCCCCTCACAACCTCTTATATGTAATTTTGTATAACAAACAAAATCTATAATCTGCATTTTTATAGATTCCAGAGTGACACTGATGCTGGGAGTCTTCATGCCAAGCTGAGAAACAATGGCCTAATGTTCTGCTGAGACATTCCACCTTGACCGTAGTTACAGGTAACTCCAGTTAGTTGGTCCGTGTTCTTTCCTTAGTTATTTTAACTTGTATTTTTTTCAGTTTTCTTGGCAGAAATAAATGTGAAATTTATCTTGCCAACTCTCTATACAAACTGCAGTATTGCTTACTAAATTTGTTAAGTTCTACATTGAATAATATTTTGGAAAAAAAATTTTCCTTATCTATGCTTTTTATGCCAATTATGTAGGTATATTTACATATTTTTCATGTTTCTGCATGCTACACTTAAGCTATCAAATTTTAATCAAGCAAAATTTAAAATGGCTCAAATTTTAAGTGAATGACAAAAATTAGAAACTTGTAAGATTATTGAGGACAAAATTCATCCTCTTCACATTTCTTTAAAAAAAAAGGTAATATTTTTAACTTTGATTTGTTTTCCTTTATAAATGAACCAACAAAATTCTAGAAAAGTCTATATTGGCACTGAGTAACACCAAAACACTACACTTTCTTAAGATAACAAAAACTTCACAGATTATGCTTCCTGTAATTGTACCTTATAAAAATCTTTCCAAGCCTAGCATAATAGATGATTATAGAAATAAAAAAATCAGGAAAATCGAGTTTTGTCTGTTCTGTATTTCACAGGCAATTGCTTTATCTCCTTGACCTAAGTTTCCTAATCCATGAAATGAAAATGTTGAATTAGATATTCTCTCTCATTCATATTCTTTCTCTTTCTCTCTCTCTAATTGGCGCTCTCTCTCTCTCTTTCCTACACACATATGCACGCACTTGCTCTGCCCTCCCCCTTTTTAAAGTGCTGTGGTTCAAAACAATTAAATGTTTTTGGTAAATTTTTCTAAATTTATACCTCTAAAGATTCTCAAACCTTAATTACTGCCTACAACACGGTAACACGGACCAGACTGTCTAATGAAGAAAATGATCAATGTCTAGGGTATAGGAAATGACCCAGAGAATCTTCTAGATCCTGTATTGTAATCTTTTTTTTTTTTTGTACCTTTCTATTATTTCTCACACCTGGCCCATGTATGTTCTAATCATCATCATCATCACCATTATCTCCATCATGATTATATGTATTCTTTTTTTTGAATGTTGTTAAATATTTATTCAAACATTTATACTTTTAAACAACAACAACAAAAAGACAGAAAAACAATAACAACAAAACACCTGCCATTTGTATGATTATATGTATTCTTTTTCCATTAATAGGTAAGGCACATACTCTACTCACATATGTAGTCTCAGTAACACCTAGCATGGGGTCTTTCACAATATAGGTACATAGCAAACATGTGGAATACATGCACAAAGTCCTGTGATCATGTCACCTGCTCTCTCACTTCTTTAATTCTTTTCCCCTTGGATTTCCAGTCATCTCAAACAGATGAGCAGACTGTGTCAGCTTAGAACTCTGTCCACTCTATCATGCTGCCAATGGTTTGAATGATGCTTATTAATCATTATTCTCCTCTGCATGGTTGTGTTGATGATGTGACCTGAATTCAGACACTAAACACTTTAAAAGGTCATTTTAGGAAATGGCCAAACACAGAGGATTGAGTGTTATATTTCAGTTTAATCTTCTTAATCTTCTGCTGTTCTTTAGCTTCAAAATAGGCCAAAGCTAGCACTCAGAATGTTGTTGCTGACCTCAGATAACACCCTTTCTCAGAGCCCAGCAGAGGGGTTTAATTGCCTTTGAGATCAATTAAAGTCCCTAATCGTGGAGTTTAATGTCCATGCCAACTGTGCCTTCAATCACTGCCTGCCTGACAAACACACAGGAACTCTTGAGCTTTCCTGCAGCCCAGTAAGTCTACAGTTTTTACCCTGGTCCAGTTCTGAAATAGTGCACATGGGATTCCCTAGCCTGCATTTCCCACCCCATCACATAGAATCACATTCCTCAAATTCTGTGTAAGACCATGCCACAAAGCTGTTCTAATCTCTTCCATTCAAACCCATTCACTAATCATTCTTGTAACTGAATATTTGCATCCCCATATTTAGCACATAACAATAAAAATTTGAATAACACTTTATAAACCATCTACATTTTCACATTTAGTTTTCAGAACAAGTCCTGGGGTTTTGCAGAGCAATATTGTTTTCCATTTTATAGATTAGAAAATAGTGCCTTGTTAAGGAGCACATAGGTAATAAGGGGTAGAACGGAGGCTCAACCCCAAGCCTTCTGTTTGCAGGCTCCACCTCTTTACCATGTATGTATGAGGTGTTACATATGCACATGTGTGTATAAGTATATACATGGGCATGTATGCATACATAAAATATAACTGGGTTTTGTGGAATTTCTGTAAAAACCTACAGTTATATTTTTGTTTCATTTGTTTATTGTCTTTCTCATTAGTGAGTTCTCAATAAATGATAACCTTAACTTCCTCAAAAAACTTCCCAAAGTATACACTACAGAAGTTTTTTTCTTCCCTGTTAAGAGATATACAAGGAAGAGTGGCCATTTATACTCCTGGAATTCATAATTACCATTGGAAAAAAAAACTACCCAGAATTTAACTATTTGGTATTCATACTTATCTGAACCCTTTTAAGAATCAGAAAATAAACAAACCAATAACCTCTAGGAAGTTACAAAATAAATAAATAATTTTTATTCTTAGAAAAGCCCCTCTGGCCCACTCAGTCTCTTAATAGTATATACTTATTTCTGACAAGTTCAACCAGCCCAGAACATAAAGGTAGAAAACACAGGTGTGGAAGCCTCCACTCCCATTG